CACATTTCCTCACTCTGCTGCTGTCTTTAGTCTCTCTCTTCTACATGTTTGTTGTAATTATTTCTATCAATAACATGTTTTTATTTCTCTCTTCTAGAGGAAAATACACCTGGACCAGTCCTTCTTTATCTCTCTGTGTCTCCTTCCTGTCCCCCCAAACCCAACCGGTCCTGGTTCTGGTTCTGCTGGAGGTTTCTTCCTGTTAAAAGGGAGTTTTTCCTGTCCACTGTCACCACTGTGCTGCTCATGATGGGAGACTGTGTTGAAGTGATTCAACTTAATCTGCTGGATTACTTGGACTTTTATTTTTTTTGGAACAGTGCCCTGAGATGAGATGATGAGATGATAGGGTGAGAAGCTCAGTCATCCAGGAGGGACTCAGAGTAGAGCCGCTGCTCCTCCACGTCCAGAGGAGCCAGTTGAGGTGGTTCATCTGGTTAGGATGCCTCCTGGACTCCTCCCTGGTKAGGTGTTCTGGGCATGTCCCACTGGGAGGAGRCCCMGAGGAAGACCCAGGACACTCTGGAGGGACTATGTTTCTCAGCTGGCCTGGGAACACCTTGGATTTCTCCCAGAGGAGCTGGCCCAAGTGGCTGGAGAGAGGGAGGTCTGGGTTAGGGATGGGTACCGAATTCGATACTTTTTTATGCACTGATCGAATTCTGTCGGTACTACCGTGTATCTATTCACGTAACATCAAACGGTACCATGTTTCGGTACCTAAACGCATCATTGTGACCGGTTTGGTTTAAGAGTGGTGAGTTTTCCATGCTTGTCCTGAACGCAGCATCACGCAAAAGCGTAATGACGTTAGCAGCCGCTGGTTCAGTGAGGCAGCAGAGCTCGGTCTGAACATAGCATGAAAAGCCTGCAGTATGGTCGCTCGGCAGCTGACCGGTCGACGCGCCATCACGTGGTTGTTCGGCGTTCGTTTTCGCACTGACCTTTCATAGTTCCTGAGACACCCCGAGCCGAGCTCCTGGGGAAACCCCYTCCCGCTGCAGCATACGTCACTGCATGGGATTCCTTCCCCAGGGGAGTGCAATGCGGAAAGAAAAAACGTCCGCGGCTCGTCACTCGACGTTGTTTATCCTCAAACTGGTCCCGGATTAAGCTCCAAAGTTTTTATCAGTCAGATTCCACCGTGAAAAATGTCTGTTTTATCCCCWTTTATGAGTTTTTGGCCGTTTGACTAAAACTTTTAATCGYTGCTTCCTGGTACAGCAGTCTGCTCTGGAAGGGATCGCTTTTTTCTTCCTTTTTTTCTTTTTTCTTTATTTTTTTAAGCGAACATTTGAAGCAAATGCAGCGTCTGAGCACAAACAAAAACACTCCCACGAACTTCTGACCGATCACACCTTACAGTTCGTATATGTTCTCATGTGGAGGGGAGTGAAAAGTTCGACCCGCGGGTTGCGACAAGAAATGCCGACAATGCGAACAGAAGTGACGCAATTTTCGTCATAAAACTGCGACAGTTCGGGACGATTTCGGTAGTTCGGCAGCAGCATGCAGGAGCCTAAAGCCTCGCAGCTCCTGGAGTAAAACTCACCGAACAGAGCGCCTCTGAATTATCTGGTGGATTAATTATCTTGTGAACACGAAGTTCGCATGTTCAATGTAAATAAAGTAGCACCACTTTCTTTATTTCATCCACCATTAAACAGAGACCGGCAGAGGAAAACAACAGAGGAGCTTCCCACAGACCGAACACGTCTGACCTAAAGAGCACAAGCAGCCAACAAGTGTTGGACGTGTTCTGGATGTTCAAAACATAGCTTGAACACCTTTTATTTATTTTAACTGCATCCTCTTTTGTTTATTTGATTTAAACTTATTTACCTTCCATGGACCTCCATCACACATTGTTCTAGTGGGGAAATGACATCAATAGAAACACGTGGAGCTGGATTTTAATTTGTGTAATAAGACAAAACAGTCATGTTGTTTTCAACAGTTTTCACCTTAAAGAAATAAGTTACACAACTGATGTTACAATACAAAGAGTTGGATGTTGTCTTGATTTTTGTTTATTTTATATATTGAGAAATATGTTAAAGGTTAAAGTTTATTTTTGAAAAAAACAACACACACAAAGTACCGAAAATTGGTACCGTTAAGTATCTGTATCGATTCCCAGGTACCGGATATTGGTACCAAATCGATTCAAACGTCAAAGGTACCCATCCCTAGTCTGGGTCTCTCTGCTTAGTTGGCTGCCTCTGTGACCTAATCCCGGATAAGAAAATGGAGAAAATGGATGGATAGATATGTAAAGTTATCTTTTTTTGATTTAAATGGTGCTTTTTAAGTGTATGTATTTCTTTATTGGTCCATTTATATATTTCTGATTTTATTTCTAATTATACCAGGAATATTTTTTATTTAGTTTATACGTACAAGTACATAAGAACGAAGCAAACATGCTGTATTAATAAATTTCTGTAGTTATTTAATGAGTAGAAAACAGCTTTTTATGCCTGTTGGCTTTAACGCCTGCTCAGATTTGCAGCCTTCCTCCTGGAACCATCAGCGACCCCTCCAATGAGCACAATCTGACCGTGCACTGGACAGAGAGACACACTCACAAGGACTGTGCCCTCTACACTGGTGACCTAACCATCGTCTTCATCACGTCTTTTAGCTGCAGGATTAAGGAGACGAAGCTTGATTTCAGTTTAAATATTTCCCTCCACAGGTCGAACTGAAAGTTGGTGTCGGGACAGTGCAACAGACCAAGAACTGTTCAGGTACACTTTGTAAAGTGGCGACACATTTTTATTACCTGCTGACAAAAGGCCATGGTTCATGTGTGTGTAGACATGTTTTTGCTACATCGTGGAAACCATTTTCCTGAAAAAGCAGCCTCGTGGGGACCGAACGTGCATCATGGGGACCAATGCCCAGCCCCCACAGGAACAAATGCAAATTACAGGTGGGGGGGTTATGTTTAGGACCAAGGTGTGAACTGAGTTTAGGTTAGTTTTAGGGTCAGGTAGGTACCTGAGAGGTTAATTTTAGGGTAAATGGTAGGGCTGTGTATTGGAAAGAATTTGGCGATATGATACATATCATGACAGAGGGGTCACGATAGGATATATCC